TACACTATGGTCCAAAGCGGAGTCTTGTTGGCATTCAACTAAGCTTGAATGCAAGGCCGTCCTATGGGCGTTGAAGAAATTCCGCATATGGCTCTATGGAATCCACTTTACTATCGAAACAGATGCGCAAACCTTAATTGCACAATTAAATCGGACATCAAACAAAAACTCTGGTTCTCTGATGAATCGGTGGATTGCTACAATTCTTATGTGGGATTTCCAAATCAAACATGTTCAAGGGAAGAAAAATGCGGTAGCAGATGCTCTATCTAGATACCCAATGGAAGAAGGATGGGAACCTCCAAATGAACCAGAAGATGATCTGGAGAATTTTATTGATGCTAGCCTCAATCACATGATTGTAGCATCACTATTCAATATTACAGATTGGAAAGAAACAGGAGAACGAATACTAGACAATTCATACTCGGATCAATGGGAACAAGTAGCACAGTTCCTTCTGACAGGAAGAGCACCTCGAACACCGCGAAGAGAACTGAAGAACTGGAAGAAACGAGCTCTCACATTCTGCACCAAAGGGACACTACTCTTTAAGAAAACATCAAGGAATATAGCTGTCCGAAGAGTAGTGGACAAGCATAGTATGCAACTAGCTGCTATTCAAGAAATACATCAGCAACTTGGGCACCGAGGTATCAATTCAGTATATGGAGTACTGTCACAAAGATACTGGTGGGAAAACATGTATGAAATGGTTAAGAAAATGGTATCCACCTGCAAAGAGTGCCAGATCCACACCACTAAACGAAAGCATGAAATGCTTACAACGACATATTCATGGACAATTTGGGAATGGGTCACAATAGACGTGGTCCATATGCTGGCGTGCGATGGAAAAGAATTCTTGGTACTAGCAAGAGAGTACCTCACTGGCTGGGTGGAAGGGAGAGCATTGTCTAAGGCAATGGCAGAGAATGTGGCTAAGTTCATCTACGAGGAAATCATGTGCCGATGGAGCATGGTTAGAAAGATAAGTGTAGATGGGGGACCAGAAAATCGGCGATACGTTGATGCATTAACTCAAATATACGGAATCACAAAGGTGGTCGCGTCAGCTCATAACCCAAAAGCTCAGGGCAAAATCGAAGGTGGACACAAACCAATTGTTGGAGCCTTAAAGAAATTGCCGGGTAAATGGACAACGAATCTACCCACCGTTCTATGGTCCGACAGATGCTCAATACACAACCCTACAGGATATGCACCTGTAGTATTGATTACTGGGCAAAACCCAGTTCTATCAATAGAACTCAGCATGCCAACCTGGCAGACATTACCATATACCAATGTCAAAACAAGGGAAGATTTACTAAGGATTCGTGCCATGCAATTAGACTTAAGAGACAAGAATGTTGAGGAAGCAATTGCGAGAACAGGAAGACTACGACAACAAAGCAAAGAGTATTGGGATTCTACTAAGGAAATCAATCATGATACACTTAGCAATAGGGATCTCGTCTTGCTATGGGATTCCTTGAAAGAGATTGACATGTCCAAAGCAAAGAAACTTCACCGACGATGGTTAGGGCCATATCGAATTCGAGCTGCATATCAGGACAAAGGGTATTACCAATTAGAGGATCTGGATGGAGCAACCTTTCGACACACTACACCAGGATACAAGTTAAAGAAATTCTTTCAACGAAGCGTTCAGGACATGGCAGATATTGATAGAGGAATGCT